CCCCAAAACCCCAAAACCCCAAAACCCCAGAGTAAAAATATCAATTTGAAATAATCAAACATGGAATTTATTCAGTCACTGGCAGGCGTTCATAAGCGTAGTAGGAACCAGAGGTAAGGCCTTTTTAGGAACAGGAATTTTAGAGTTTGTGTACAGGGCTTAGGGAGATGGGGGTGATAAGTGGGGGATTTTGAGTGGGATATAGAACAGATTTTGGAGGCAAAGGTGCTGAGAGGGGTGCAGTGATGGGGAGGTTTGGAGGTGAGGAGGAAGGCAAGGTTTATGGAAGGGAAGAGAGTAAAGATGGTAGGTGAAGAGGGTTTGGGGGTGTGGAGATTGTTTATAGAGCATGTTTGACCCATATGTCTTGTTGGTGGATTTGAAAACAAAATTGTCAGCCTACTTAATAGTAAGGCAGAAGGTTTGGAGGAATATAAGCAAAAGTCACGATATATATTTGAACCTGCCCCATGGTCGGACTATACTGAAAAAAACTCTTATTCTGCTATTATCTATATCAACAGCTGAGACTTTATAAAGATCACATCTATCATGCTTTCAGAATTATCCAAAGATGTCATCAAAATAGTTGAAGCCGATGATCTCACATATAATACAGCACATTGTCTGGCCGAACTAGAATCAGATGGAGCTTGTATCCTGAAGAGATGCAAACACATCTTTCACAAGGAGTGCATGAAGAGCTGGATCAAACTCAAAAATACCTGTCCTGTTTGAAGAGATGTAAGCATTCAAAAATTGTTTATTTGAAATTTTATAGGAAATCTACCAGAAAAGAGCTTTTGAGCAGTCAAACTCTTTCCAGGATGAATCGGGCTTGATGACTCTATCTTCAGCCCATATCAACCTCGATTCAGATACTTCAGAGAATGTTATGGATGACTTCGAAGCAGATTCAAATGGATTTATGTTTCCTGTCAATGATGATGATGATGAAATTGAAGAAGTGAAGAATCTTAGTGATATTGATGAAATGTCTGAAGAAAGTAGTGAAGAAGAGGCTGACATTAAAATTGAAAGATTCTCAGCAACAAGTTCTTCAAACTCTTCTTCTCTACCCTCTTTGGAGGAGTTCATCATTCAAGGCATATCCTCCCCAAAATCCTAGATATAAGAGTTTTTCTAGGTATAAAATGAGTTTTGACATGAAAACTCTGTTTTTATGATCAATTGGCTTATTCTTTAAATGAATTTCTATCTAACTTGTATCAAAAGGGGTTTTGGGGTTTTGGGGTTTTGGGGTTTTGGGG